GAGTACCTTCAATATTTTCTAAATATATGTTGCGCATTCATCAAGTTATACCATTGATACTTGGAGGAAAAATCTTAGCAACTCCACGCTAACTTTTTGCCTTCTAGTTGATATTCAAACTTTACATTAAACCTTATCTTCAGACGATTTTGGCTCTAGAGCTTTCTCCTTGGAGTATGTCAAAGTCGATTTGCCATTCGTGTTAACCCAATTTACGTCACATCTTTCGTTAAGATATGATGGTATTTTTCGAGTCAGCGATCGACAAAGTTTTTGCTTCAAGAACTACCGGCTAGCCTAGTTTATGCTGATCTTCACCATAGTGTCGTCTCATTCCAAGATCTCTGCATAACAAAAATTTATAGTTAGATTTTGTAACGAGTCCCCCTGGACAGTATCAAAAATTTAGCACAAGCCATCAACGTTCGGGCCCTGTGGTTTATACTTCCTCATTGTATTATTTTGGCTTGAACCCACAATCCCGAAAGTCGAACAGATATATATATAGCACACTGCACCATTATATCCGATATTTGAAGAGATTCTGCAAATATTAATTTTGCACCTTAAGTTCACTAGAATTTACAGCATGTATTTTACCAAAATCGAGACGTCAACAATCACTAAGGTGCTCGTTCAGCTTTCATTTCGAACGCCATCGGGATTAGTGCAATAAATGTGGTAGCTAGGCACCTTGCTAAATAAAATTTAATTATCTGTTGGTTTAAGCATCCAGCTGCAGCAACTTGGTGTCGAAGCCATTAGCAACACAGGATAAGCCAACTTATTAGACAACACAGACCAGCTCCATTCCCTTATTGCCGATATCCAGCTGCCCTATTCCTGAACGTTGAATGACCAAGTCGCGCTGCTCCAGCATGCTATACTAACCACACCGTAGTACACGGATAGTGTATGTGCTATTTTCCACAATTTGGCTGTAAAGGCCAGATAAAGTTCGCCATCGCGACCTTCCTGAGTGATTCTACTTCTCAAAAATCGACAATTCCGGTCACAGACTGGTGGTACACTCCATGATCGTAATATGGAATAGATCGCAAGAAGACAGAAGACTTAGCGGACGCTTTGCCGGTACATGCACTTGTTTGCAGGATATAGAGTATGCGAAGATGTCGACTCCCAGCTGGGGGTGAGTAATTTTGTGGGCTTTGACCGGCCATGTATACTCCAGTGACTAACAAACCGATCACCCTATACAGATTTTTACAGCAAGCGCCGTTTGTACGGCATATAAAATGGAGGATAACAACGCGGGCCAATAAAAATGACTTTGACAAAGTGTCAATGCCACTTCTGTACAATATATTAAATTACCCTATGAATTCAGGGCAGAGTATTTGCTACAAGAATCACCAGCACTAGCCCAGCAATCTAATCAACGACACATCTCGATAGCAGAAGACACCTACTACATATGCGGGTGTATGCCAGCACCTAAGGAAATTCGCCACAACGATACAAAAGACAGAAGACTCACGAGCATATAACACACGCTACTGTAGAACTTTTTCATGGCCTATGAACGTTTCTTGAACCTTTAATGATATGCCCGGGGCTTCGTCTAAGTTAAGCATTTTCATGTTCTTTCCATGGCTGTCGTTGGAGAGCACTCATTTGATGACCTCACAATGGCCAAGACCTATAGCACACTTTCGCCCCCACGCTAACCACTTCTGCTACAGCAACAACTTGGTATTAGAAAGCAAGATACTGAGCTTTGGAAGTGAGTTATGAACCTCAACATACCGACTTTCCTTTCCGTCTACAACAAAACCTCCTTTACTCGGGCTACACATTTCAGCAGTCATTAGGCGCCAGGACAACTTGCCATTTCGACTGCGACCACAATGAGTTTCCTTGGCATATTTCCCGGCTCTGTCATTTTGCTATTAATTGTGAAAATTACTGCTAAAATCTCCACAACAAGCTTTTGAGAGCGATCTGTCGTCAAATACCATTCTCAATCTTGCACAAGTAAAAAAGCCACACAGACATTTGGCATTGCATCAACTACATGAGCTGATACACAACACAGTGGTCGATACCAGATTAAATTTTGATCTGGTTTCACTACATCAACTTATCTAGAGAATGGCTCGTACACCAGCAGGGCAGATACATATATAATTCATGGTATATGTAGCGGTATATAGGAAAGCAACCTCAGAATGTAACGCAAACTATTGATTAGTTAATTAAGCAACCTCAAATTTGCGTCGTTCGAAAAGGTGGCAGACGAGGAAGTTTAGTAGCTGGCTACTCAAGGCAAGACTTTAGATCATTGCTGACAAAAGATGAGAAACTCACCTGGTCGAATTTGCATAGTTCGTTGACAACGTTGACGGCGGTATCACACTGTATCAGCAACGCTATGTCGGTGATATTTTCGAGCGCTTTGGTATGGAATACTGTACGGCAGTGACAAATCCGTCAGACATGGGCTCTATGCTAGTTTCCAGCGATTCGCATTTAAAGTTGATGCTCCGTTTCGTGAGACCACTTGTGCTATCGCATTCATACAAAAGTGGCTGAGACACGTCCGGACATTGCGTTTTCGATTAATTACGCCGCACCCTTCATGCCAAACCTACAAGATAAGCACTGGATTGTAGCCAATGTACATCATTGGAAATAAGTCATGCGGCATCGGTTTTAAAGTCCGGCGACAAGATGGATTTTCGTGGATATTCTGATGTAGACTGGGGTGGCGATCATACCGAAATGCGATTTCTGGGTATGTATATGCTAATTGGTGCCCATGTGGGCTGAAAAGCAAAGAGTAATTACGTGCACCACCGTCCACCAGCAGTGCGGGGTACGTCGCTTGTGGTCTAGCCATTCATGAGGGCAAGTGAGTATATCGTGTACTCTGCAAATTTCTAGCTGCCACGATAGATAAGTCGTAACCCGAGCTCAAGATAATAACGGATAACCAGTCGTGTATTAAGATAACGGAGAAATAGATGCTCATGGCCGGGTCAAGCACATTGAGATCAAATGCCACTACATTCGTGATGAAGTCAAGTTGGATTACTGCGAGACTGCGCCGCAAGGATTAAATGACAGCTTTGTGAACGCATTAAAAGGGGGCATTGAGGGTACCCGAAGTATCGTAAGTAGTATTGCTTTTACCAATTATCGACTCTCAAGGCCCATCTGTATCAGCTACTCCATCACAACTATAATTAAGTCTAGTTGAGAATGGTTTCGTAAGCAAACTATCACCGAAAGTTGAGTTTAGTATTAAATAAATAAAGATATTCACGACCAATCTGGTTCCTATGTCTGCAATCTGCGCATTAAAGCAAGCACGCGGGATGCCGCTCGGAAAAAGTTACAATGGCAGAGCTTGATCGCATAACAGCCAGCTTCATTGTGACGATTTTGCTTAACTTTCCGCCGCATGAAGATGTGCTCGTTACCATTTAAGTTCAACCTGCGTACTGCTTAGCAGCTACTCAGGAATTCGCGTCAACGTCAGCAGCAAGTAGTGATCGACCATGCGGTCTGTCAAACTATCCGCGCAACGCCTAGTTTGACGGGACAGTCGATATACGTTCTGACTATTTATTATTGTCTGACAACAAGCTGCCACGCACCAATTTGATAAGAAATACAATTTTAAAAGAAGCGCAGCTTGTCACTGCACATTAAGCGGTCTTTTCTCAATGTTTTTTGCATCGGCTAAATACGTCGATCCACAGAAGGAACAAGCCTTGTAACCGCAACAGCATTCGTCGCGCTCTATTCCTGTTATGACCGATCTATGCATATCGTGACTTTCACGCTTGCAGTGGAGCAGGGTGGAATCATCGAACCAGTTGTATTCGTTGGTAACGAGCTAGACATCGTCGTTAATTCCACGACGGGACGCTGAAACACTTTCCAATGGTCTAGGGTACAAATTACAAAACTTCTTGCATCGAGTAGACGAAGGGGACGGCTGGGACGTGGATTGCCTGGTGAGTGCGAAGGAGCTTAATCGAGAATCGGAGAGTCATTAGGACCAATTTATCATAGAGCAACCTGGCATCCTCGCCGATATAAGTGCATTTGTCGCGAAGACCGAGCTATTGACGTGCACTCGTTGGGTTGCTGATCTGGTGCACGGGGGCGGAATCTGGCGCAAGACTAGGCACGGTCGATTGCAGAGTGTGTAGTGGAACTCCAAGCGCAGTGGCTGCTCGTGTGGCGGTCCCATTTGCGCAGTGTCTTCAAAATATAAGGTAGGTGTCAACCTTACTGTGACTCGCATCTTGATGTGGAAGGTTGAGTGGGGCAAATACTGTAATCTTGTGTTTCGCATGTGGAACAATTGTACAAATTTCACATTACACTTGGTGCAATCTTGAATATTCATAAGTATCGAAATGTTTATATTTGTAAACATTATGGAACTCCAGAAAGGAGGAGTTCAATATACGCAGACTACTCGCCGCATATCAGAAAACAAACACAGCTTTATTATGATTTACAGTAGAACGTATCATTTCTTTAGTTAAGTTAAATTGCGATTTAAATATGTGTACCCAAGATATAGAATTACGCACTAACAGTGTTATAATCTTAGGGGTCCTCTGCTACGCTTTATGTAGAAGGGCGCAAACCTATCATCTGTGCAGTCTTCAACGCGGACTCGGTATACAAAGCTTCCTGAAATTTCGCCGCAGAGAATGTCTATGAAACTATATATAATAGTAGTCTATATTTTGTATCAATTCTATCAGGATTTTAGTCTAAATGATTTGTATCAAGATACAAATTATTTTCGCCAACTATATTTTATAAATCAAATCATTGCTTGACGTGCGGCTTTGATACCGATACTTCGGTAATAATGATATTCAAATTTTTTCAAAAGCTCAATCTCCTACAATTGCACAATATTGTTCTTGATACAATGTGTATCATTGTACAGGAGTGCAATGTGTCAGTACACAACATACAGTACGAGATGAGATGTCTGGCAAATCCGAATATAACAATCAAGACCCGATTGGTATGCGTTCGTAGGACGCGAAACCATATGAATTTTGCCCGAAGCAAACTTTTTCTTTGCATCGGTTACTTATACAAGGTAAGGTAGCTGTCTCCCGGGTTGCATAACCTGAAAAAAAGGCACAAATATCTTCTTTGCTACAATCAGAACATAACAAATGGAGACTTCATTACAAGACGTTTTGTGTTCTCTTCAGTGGCTGCCAGATTAATGGGGACGTTACATGTCAAGCTGCACAATTCATCAGGTAACGATAAAGATCAAAGCGTTGAACACGATCCTCTAAGCCCTAGTGCTTAGTCTCGACAGGTAGTAGAGAGCTATGATGTGTACGTAGCTTTTGAAGGATCAGCTCGCAATTCTTCTCTTTTTCTCTCTCAATAAGTCCGACAGCAGCGTCATATGCACAGCGTTCCAAGCACAATTGATACAGGAAGTTGGCCAGTACAAGCCTATTCTGCACGCTACTAAGCTGAAAATAATCAATTGACTCTGTACGTGCTATAGCACGTCCGAAACGGCGGAGATCATGAATAGACTTCATCTGACGCAGAAGAGATGGAAGCGTTTGGCTGTTAGCAGTTCTTGAGATGTTGAGGCTATACATGTATGCAGATATCTAAAAGGACTGACGATTTAGTCGCTATTATTTGTTATCGTAAGCGCACAAAAGTGTTAAGAAATCTCGGTGACCAATCGCTTGAGCATTTTTGTGGTATCAAGTGGATCTTGTATCATTCCCTGCCGCCAACGTTGCGAGCTAGCGAGTGGAGATTTCTATAACGGAACGACCTGCTTGATGGAACTAAGTCTAGACACCCTTATTTAATCCCTTACTAAAGTATGACACTGCGCAGATGCCACATAAACATCACACTCACCCGTTTGAAAGTTTGATAGCAGGGTCGAGCACATTCCGCCACCCATAGATAAAACCACGCAAGCATATTTGCCTTAAAAAGATGCATTGACATGTACAAATTTAACTTGTAATATATTATTGGTGTCATGTTGAAAATGTGGATTGCTGATTGTGGAACATGTGTTTGCAAGCTGACGTACCTTCTGTGTCGCGAATGACAGTCTTGGCTGCAGTGACATGAATATTTTGTGGGTCAATCGCGCAATGAATTTTCGGCATAAACAAGTCTAGCTAATTAGAGCTGTATCTTTTGCTGCTTCACCAACGTCGATTGAAATACCAAACCCACACCGCGTTACAACGACAAAAAAAATTGCGCTGATGCGTGGTGATGCAACAGTGTACGCTCAAAGGCCGCGAATGCCAACAACAAACATAAAGGACAAGCATGTGCGGAGGTAGAAACTCGCCAAATTAGTTTAGGTGGGCGATAAATGTGGATAACCAGATAAATCACAGCTGAAACAAACCGCATGAACTCATGTCAAGAAATTCAAAGATGCGTGCGGTTTTTATGATTAGAAGAAGCAATTTCTGGCAAAAAAAGGTAAACTGGATGAGAACAACGATCGCATGTTTTCGGCGACAGTACTGCTCAATTTATATCAGGCCATCATAAAAGCAGACAGGGCTCAGGAAACAATGTATTTCAGCCTGGATATGGTGATACGTAAACGGCATTGCGAAAAAAAAAGTGTCGGGAATGTCCACTGCGAATCGTGCAGCTTGTGATACAGTGGAAGCTTCCTTGGACAGATTTAAATAATACATACCTGCATTGCTATTGCTGGATGATGACAGAAGCCATTGACACGCTATTGCTCGAGAATTTGTGTAGATAAACAAAATTTGGCCGTCTCACAAACTAGACCAACTATCTCTGAACATCTTCAAAAGGTTAAAAGTACTTTTCGTTTACTATCCTGGATGTCACTAATCTGTCTAGGTCTTAAATCCACCAGCTGTTATTGTCAAAGCTTTGCAGCCAAACTTGTCAAATGTTTAAGAAAAACAGCAAGTTTACTCTAACGCATAGCTTAAATATGTAGTCAATCTACGCCAGGAGATTGTCACTTGGTGGCTAAATTAAAAGATTTTCAACAGAACTGGAAGTACATGACCTTCATTACAGTAATTGACAAAAATTCTTGGGGCGATTACGGTAGTAATATTCAGTGCGTCCTCAAGTGTACATAAAAGTCTCAGTTCGTTGGCTTACAAACTTTCAGTCAAAAATGCACTAGCAGTTTACGTATTGGCCGCAACGTGTCTGGTCAAATCAAACTGTAATGAAGGAGGCAACATGCGCGACGCCTACTGAATTGCAGAACAGCAATGACACCACGCTCTTGGATTTCTTAATGGTAATGATCGTGGGGTGCGTATTATTGACCGTACTTTTTCGCGTGCTGTTTTCGATATTCCCAACGCCATCACGGGGTTTTGGAGCCGGCAACAGTAGTCCCACTACTAGCACAAATGCCCCGCTCAGCCTCAAATCTGTGAAGCGAGCGACCAGTGTGCGTGACCGTTTGGAACGCGAGACTCGCACACGATTACCGCGCCGTTCCACATATTACTCGATGCCTTTTTTTGCTGACACGGTATCCAACAAACAAGAGTTTGTGGAGAGCCTTATGGATCTGGGCGACGCTCGACTTGATGGATGGTTACTCGTTAAGAAAGGCCTGCAGCGTGCTAAACACTGGCAGAAGCGTTTTGTGGTGCTTGACGCGCACGGTAGAATGAGGTATTACCCAAACGCAGATGCTGCGAGGCGCAATTCAAACATCAAAGGATCACTTGCAGTGCACGCTGTAAAGCCCGCGGATCCATTTGAGTTCGGAGCCAACACCCTCGAGGTCAGAGGTACGCTTGGTGGTACCTATTTTTTCAAGGCGGAAGATGACATGGCTGCGCGCTCGTGGCTCTGTGTACTCACGATTCGCGCTATTCAGGGCCATGTCCCCGGACGAATTGATAGCGTGCTCAGCGCTGCGGTTGCTTTACCGCTTATGCAATTACAGGCAGTGAATAACGGAAGTGCTTCTTCGCTCGCGTCGTCATCGTCAATAAAGTTGCTTCCAGCTTCCGAGTCTGATGAAAACAGATTCAATACGTCAAATGCTACAGTCAGTGCAATTAATGCCGTGGGCAACTCTGGCGATGACATCGAGGTCCCTCCCGTGCGTCTTAAATTACACCAATTAGAGCTATTGGTACAAGACATGACTTATGATAAGGACGCATCACTACGCCAGTTCTACGTGGTGGCCAAGTTTAAATCCGACCTTCATGACTACTCTACCGTCCCAGTGGGTCAGACTTCGCCCAAACCCCGAGGTGAAAAGGGCGAAAAAGGAGCCATTGTTAAGTGGAATGAAAAGCTGACATGGCATTTTCAAGATCACGTGTGCTCTGATTGCCGAGAGTGCCGCTCCCTTGGGGCCATTTCGGGTGCATTTTGTGGATTGCCCGATATATTGGTGTTGCATGTGTATGAGATACACTTGCGCTATCTCACAACAAAAATTGGTGAAGTGTCATTGTCTCTTCGCGAATTGCTAGGTTTTACGGGTATGCGAACGGCTCACTTTACGTGCGCTTGGCCCGTCACATCTACCCGTGATGCAATTCTCGGTCGGCTGATGTTATCGCTTAAATATGCAGTGGACAATGCGGGTGGAACTGAATTAATGAAGTTTCTTGTGACGTCGGCCGAAGAGCGCGAACTTGTCGGTGAATATCCGCTTCATTCGTCTTTCACAAGCGCTTTTGACTTTTTTAGCAAATTTTTAGCTGATGGAACGTCGGACCGCTTACGTGATTACTTCAATGAACGAGGTGACACAGAGATTGAAATTGGCGACTGGATCCCATCCAAAGAATTTGGCGGCCAAATACGCACAATGACTTGCCGCTCGCCAACAAATGCTTCAATTGGACCATCTCACACTATGACAACTACAACAGACCACGTGCCTTTTGACGAGGAAGGCGTTAAGGACAATGAGAAACTTGTAATGCAGTCGAAGGTTTTTATGCATGACATTCCGTATGGTGACTGTTTTTCAGTCGAGAAAGTGACTGTTGTGGAACGTGTTCCGTCCGATGATGGAAGTCCAGGAAAGCTTGTGGCCAAAATTTATCTAGGTGTGCCATTTTCAAAAGGTTGTATGTTTAAGTCAAAAATAATTAGTGCGACGCGGGAAGCTATGATGAGTTCTTCGAGGTTGTACTTCCATGTTGTAAACCGATCAATGGAGAGTCCTGGTGCTATGAGAACTGCAATGCCTGCAAAGCCATTTCTGGTTTCCACAAAAGAGGAACGGCAGATTGTGGGTGAGTATGAGTTACATCCTGCAATAAAAGATGCTCTACACTTCTTTGACCTATTTTATGCTGATGATACGCTCTTTCGATGGGAGAACATCCACAAAGAGGCCGGAGACACGGAGCATGTTGTCAGTAAATGGGAAGACTCTGCGGAATTCGGTGGTCAAGTGCGCGAGATGAAATACCGTGCCAAAAGTAATTCTCCGCTCGGACCAGCTTCTACGATGGCAGAACAATTGGTGCATGTTCCGTTCACCTCCCATGATCGCGACAGCATTGATGCAGATCGCCTTGTGATTGAGCACAAATTGACTCTGCTCGAGATTCCATACGGGGACTGCTTTCACGTCGAGACTGTGTATGTGATAGAGCCTCGAACAGATGCAATCGGATCCCCATTGGTCGCTAAAGTGTACATTGGAATTCCTTTTTCGAAAAGCACTTTATTTAAGTCAAAAATAACGTCGGCCACGAAAGAAGGAGTCGTGAAAAGTACAAATATGGTTTTTGAAGGGCTGAAAAAGGTACTAGATACGGAGGATTCTTTGCCGTCAGACGCAGCACCAAATTCCAACGCGGCCGAGAATCATACAACAATGCACAGCAATTCGCGAAGGAGCATGTCGACAAGGGGTGGACCTCGGCGCCGCCCGAGCGTGGCACGCTACAACAGCACCCTCGATGGAAGTGTTGCGCTTGAGGAGATTTTCGAAAATCAGCGGGTCAGCATGTTTGGCAAATGGGCTCCCAACCACCTGCTGCCAACAGACCGACCACGCTTTTCAAATCGAGATGGTGACAAGGCGATGAGCTTCGAGCAAGTATCTCTCCCTCCTCATTGGAGTTGGACAACTCCCTGGCGAATCGACAAAAATTACACAGACTGTGATGAGGAAGGCTGGAGTTACGCAACAGATTTTCCGCGGTTTAAGTTTCATCTGGCCAGAGGTAAGTCAAGCATGAAGCGTTTGGGGGCATCAGTGCGACGCCGTCGTTGGATTCGCATGATGGCGTTCGTGCCAGTGGAGGCAAATAATGACCTTACAAACCCAAATCAGCTCAACATTGGTCGCCGTAATCGTAACCGCGTCAGTCAAAGCAGTAGCAGCAGTTCAATTGGATCTCAGTAAACGAGTCAACATAAATGTAATTTCTTTCGCGTCATTATCTGATCTGACAAGTATTTATATCGAAGCAACAGTCAAAATAGCTTAGCTCAGACTTCTGCGAAATGAAGAGTAACAGGCAGACAACACACAGCGAGGGTGCTGTGCACCTATACTATTGTGTAAGTACATCTCAGAATTATTTAATTCAGACTAGAACTATGTAAACGTTCCGTAGCAAGCAACCTGTCTCCCTTTTTTAAATGACACCGTCTTTATAAATATCGATGTTCCGGTACTTATTAATACACCAAAGTACAAAGCAAACTACTTGCAATTGTACCGTATCGTATATTTTACAATCACATCAAGTATGTTAGTGACAACACTACTTGCCCTGTTACAGCATCCTCCGCCGAGATATGGTCCACGCCGGGGTTCACGCTTGGTTTGTATTCTCAAGATATTTCACAAAGTGGCCGCTCCACAAGCAACCACTACACCCGGGATTCCACTACTCTCTGCAATTCCCCATGTCATCGTACTTGCACCGAAAGTTCCCTCCATTCACCAAATTTTACACTTTGATAAACCCAGTAAAATCGCGATTACGCCTCCCACGCGCTTTTGGTGAGAATCCTGATGTGTATTCCGTTGGGAACGGCCCTACTGACTCTCTGCCCCGACCAATCTCCTTCACCGCCACCAGGCGATCCGCGACCTAGTCGTGTTCCAAGGGGGAAGCGCTCGCAGCTTTTACCATCCCCGCTGCAATGCCTCAAAATTTGTGCCGTTACCACTAGAAATTGTTTTAGCGTCGCATTGTGATGTTCAAGACGATGTTCAGCTTGCCACCTACAAATTGAACCTGGCCCAAGGATCTCCGATTGCTTAACTGCGCGCGTAAGAGTTCCACTGACTGTTGCCTAAACATCACACCTTGACTACGTTTTGAATCGTTTAAAGCCGCTATTTGCGTTGATGCTGAGCATCTTCACATCAATGCATGTGGGTCTTTCGCTAACAGCCAGAACCAACGAGCAGAAATAAATCGCTTCGGGAGCGCTTTCTCAGCCCACAGGTCGCCATTCCCCAGAAGGTCTGTTTGCGCTTGAGATAGCAGCTGCGAGGAAATTAGTGCCCTATGCTAGCGACATGCCTTCGGTACTAGAAGCTTGAGAAAGTATAGCTGCGTATATGACTCAGCTCGCGCAAGAGATGAAGAATTAACAAACCCGCCTTGAGGTTCTACGAACCCGCATTTTCAGCGAAACAGACGTTCGTCTGGAGCGACATCTCATGCTTGACTTCGACGCAGATGTCGAGGCGACAGTTCGTCACCTCAAATTTCCAGTCGTAGCCGCAACCGACCAAGGTCATTCCACCGCAACTTTGATCGCCTCCCACTAGTGGAAAGCGCGCAGCGACAAACAGTCGTATTTTTTCTCCAAGGGAGATAAAGCCGATAACAGGGCAATATTTTCGAATTGGAATCGTAAACTCCCACGAAACGGTAAGATTTCAACTCCACCAGATACTGATAACAAACAGGTGCACCCGCGGGTTATCAAACACTTCACGCGACAGTGGACTTCTTCCTGCAAATAGAGTAGCCAACTAATGAGTAGTGCCGGTTTAGGTCGCCCCCCGCGGCTGGCTCGCATGAGATATTCAGTTGCGGCTTTTTATGATAGTCACAGCATGCGTTCAAGGCTGAGGTGAGGTCGATCTCGGACCAACTTACTTAGCCTCGCCATCGCACTACCTATTTCAGGCGCTTTTAGCGGATTAGAACAGTGTCGTTGCCTCGAAGTAGAAGTCAAAACAGCTACAGAAGATGTAAAGACGTTGTTCTGTCTACAACAAAGCTTTTCACAATCGATTATCTTGTAAGGGTGGGATCGTGGCAAAGCGTTACAAAGTCCACTTAGAAGACAGAGAGTGTTCGCATTCTTTTTGGAATATTTTGAATATAACTCGATAACTTTTTCATTATCCCGTCCACAATCCGATTTAGAGCGGGCGCGACTTAGTCTTTTATACCGCAAACACTGCATATGTAGGTATGTTACTTACAGATATCACAACATTTTCCTCCACAATGTATTCCGATATAATTTGCCCGTCTCTGGGATCGAGGTATTGTTTGTCGTTGTCTTGGTTCTCGGCCGTAGCATCTTGCATCCTTTGCTGGGGAACAATCTCATCGACATTGAATCACTGAATTTGCTACGAAACATAACCTAGCTGACACCAGCAACTTGATTTTGGTCGGAAGCTTATTCTTCACCGAGACCGAAGCCAATTCCTGGCGATATCGATGGTATTCAGAGGCTCACCAAAGTTTATATGTAAACGGGATAAATCGTGTAGAGACATGAGTTATGTTAAATAACGCGGACTCAATGGATAGGAGCTGCTCACTGAAAGAACCGTGTTCTCTCCGCGTAGGCTGTTGTTCTCGACAACACGATTCGCGCCTTCCAATCATCATTTGGATCAGATTTATCAGTGGTTTATATATCCAATCTGGTGCTGAAGATCTTCATTAGTGTCTACCGAGTCTTCGCATAAAAAGGAGAATATCTGTGCAATACAAAGATAAACCGCAAGCCATGTCGGCAAAACACGCTGACAAGGAGCGGCTTGGCTATATCCGCACCGATCACATTGTTGCTAACAGGAACAAAATGAACCATTCTGATCAGATGGGCCACGGTAAATACAAACGGAAAGGTCTTCGAGCTCGTTTCTAGGTCCCACGAAATTTTCCGTTAGACGTTTATCGCACTCGTCTACGTGTATTCGCAATGCGGACGATACCTGTAGTGCTCGCCCCTGGTGAAAGCGCTACAGATGAGTAAACGCTCTTCGAGCGATGGGTGCAACGGCACTGGAACCTTTCCTCACTGCATAACCTGCGGTTGAGACACAAGGAAGTCAACGTGCGTGTGGAGCGAAATCTCCGATTTGAGTTCGCCAAACTCAAGGCACGCCGTCGACTTCCTTCGGATTGTCACCCTGCGACGAATGAGTTGACCCCTAATGGTCCCGCGAGCTCTGTATCTTCGACCGCAAGAGCTCGGGGCCACTGCTTGAGCTCAGCTCATGGCCTTTCTACTTCCCTGGCTATTGCCGGGAAGTGTGGGGCGTCTGACGACGCAGGACGTTTTGATCTTTTCGATCAAAAGTGTCCACTGCGACTGGAAATCTTGCCAAATTGGCTCTCAAACTCCCACGAGTTTTCAGAGTCGGGATATCCCCGCCACTTCACAAGATATTGGGTCTGACCCTGGTGACGACGTTGTCTTACTAGACGTTCCACGTGATAGTTTACGTCACCGTTCTCATCGAGAAAGTCGGTGACGAACGGGTAGACCGCCCCGATGACTCGTGAAGCTATTTAAGCCCTTGAGTACGAGGTCTGTCGTGATCGGAGCTCATCTGAGCGTGATGCTGAAGTAGCATATCGCTATGCGGACGCACGCTCTGGTTTGAGGCACGTCGTGCGCCGGCTGCCTCGCGTTGAGGACTATCGCGCTCTGTCGGAGCGACTCGTAGCCGTGAAGCAGTCAAATGCGTCGCTGCGTGCGACGGTGGAGCGCTTGGCGCTGTTAGAAATGGAGGTTGTAGCTCTCCATGCTCAGAACCAGTTGCTATTTCAGCTTCTGGGTGGCCGCGGGCCCATGGGACCGCTCCGGCGCCAACGCTTCCGCGTTATCTTGCGCCGGATCCCGGTACCGCTTGTACAAGCCCACGTAAAACACCAGGTGGGTGCGCATCCGTTTCGGAAGGTTCAGCGTGTACGCCAGGCCCCGTTTGGTAAGAACCTCAAACGGTCCGATAAACCGTGGACAAGGCTATGTTCTAAAGACAGCAGAGGCTGCATATGTAGACAGTTTGTTTAAAACCAGGTCCCCGACTTTAAAGCTTTCCACGTTGCCTCGTTCTTTTTCATCTGTATATTGT